TTTATTAACTAAACTATCCTCTTACTGTTACTCTATATTTATAATAATTTAATAACATAACAACTTTGAATTAAATTACGTTTAGGGTTTGTCCATGGCAAAAGAGATTGGTGCTGTAAAATATTTAGAATGTTCTGCTCTTACTCAGAAAGGTTTGAAAACAGTATTTGATGAAGCAATTCGCGCAGTATTGTGTCCTGTTCTCCAAGTGAAACCAAAACGCAGATGTTTCCTTCTATAATATTAAATGTCCAACGACGGTGGAGCATGTGCAAATGTACTACCCCTCCTCCGATCGGACTTGATTGCAGCAGGACATCTAACTTTGATTAAAAAACCCCGTTGTACGGTCCATCTCTCTACAAGCATCTGCCATGAAAGCGCACAAATCAATTTATATAATGCGTATAAAAAGATAAAGAAGAAAATATATGCAATTTAAGTGTTTTGGACATTAGCTGAATGTTCTGATGAGAGAAAGGAAGCCAAATGAAAACTGAACTGATAATGTACAGTATATTAGAGTGTGTTATTAATATTAGTTATTACATACGAATTATAAGAAATTAAACATTATGTATGTGCGTTTGTGAGCGCACTAGATACTAATCAATTTAATAGAAGAGCTGAACCATTTTATGTAAATTTGCATTGTATATTTTAGATTAAAAATGTAATCATACAATTTTGTCATTTTTAAATTTTTGGTATATAAAGAGATTGATACAGTAAAAACATTAAAGTAAAAAATATTTGAATATGAACATTACATATTAATGGGAGTTGTTTTTAATCTTTAAATAAATTGAATTTTCCAGCTAATAATTTAAGTGAAACTAATCATAAATTATATCTTTCATTGTAAATATACAATTGCAAGTATGTAACATGAAATGATTTTCATCTTTAACTAAATTGGTTGATATTACTATATACATACCATGGAATAAGATAATCATGTAAGTTTTAGAAATGAGCGATACAAGTGTGATTTCAATTCTCTACCTCTCCTGTATTTTCATGTTGTTGCAATTTTGCTGTAATTCATACGCACAACATGGCTAAAAGAATAAAAATATCAGAGGTAGAAGAAAATGGTACGTGTGTATGAATGTTTAAGAGTGCATACGAAAGCCAAGAGAGAAAGACAGAAGAAGGAATTATTCTATAACAAATAATTGTACATAAATGGTAAAAGTCCAAACTGTATTCCTATCATTATCATTTTACATGTATAAGCTGCTGAATCTAAATCGGACGTTACTTGTTTTTTATATATATATTATAAATATATATAAAGTGGGGCTGGACCGAGATCTATTTCAATCGTCGCAGATCCACTGACCTGTGCAATCTATCCGGGGAATGGGGATTCAGTCCATAAAAATATCATAGATACTGTAACTAAATATGCTTTATTAAATGGGTGTTTATTAAATTTTTCTATTTATTTATTATGCCGTTGTGTCAAAGAACGTATCAATTAATATAGATATTTGTTCCGGAGTGTATTTTATATATTTAGCTGGGTTCTTGGAGAATGATATCCCCCGATACTTATTATGAAAATTCATATAAAGAGGAACAATAGCTTGTTGAAGCTCTTTTCGTAATTCTTCTCGTAATCGAGCATCAGGTACGGAATAAGAACGTTGACATTTTGCAACTTCTTCTAATTCTCTTGTAAATCCCAAAAATTTCTCTTTCAAAGCTTTTGCTGCTGGTTCTGTGAAAATAATAAAAATCCTAAATCTTCATTCTTAACATCTTTCTGTTTATATGTTACACAATTGATATATATCATTAAAACCTCCATAGTTATATTAAATAATTTCGTGTATTTTAATTTTACGTAATTCATTATTTAGTTAATGTTATATTCAAAATAAATATTATTACAAGAACATTTCTTTTTTATTTAGTGTTATAAATTTAGTGTTTTCTAAATTGTCAAAATACAAACCTGGTTCATCGAAGGGCTGTTCAAGATAAGCGCGCGCTTTTGCAAAGGTAGTAGAAACGTAGTTAGCCTTATCACGCAACAGGAGATCGTGATATGTTTGTTCTGCGCTAGGTTCTGCTAATAATAAAAGTTCCATCAAGGAACTACGACGTAAAGCATTTATAACATGATTATGATTGTTTAAACGAAACAAAGCTCTTAATGCAATGTCCGAATATGAAGTATCACTTTTACTCACGAGCACCAAATTCAATTGTGCTAATACCTTTTCTAAAAATAAAAAATAATATTAATAAGTTTTATAATATTTTCATAACGTGTCCAAAAATAAGGAAATAGTGATACCAACTAATGTAAGTGCCAAGAACAATTCTATACATATTTTCTGTTTGTTTTATAGATGTTGCACCTTCCATATCAGCACTACGTCTTAGCACAGCTCCTGCTGTATCTGCATATTCTGCTAATTGTTCCAAGAAAACTAAAACATTGCTTGTACTTTCTGCTACAGTACCGTCTTTAGGTAAAATTGAACTAGATTCATTTCTGACACTTTCTGCAAAATCTTCCAATGCTTTTGCCCCCTATATTGTTAAATTATGTAGTATGTAATTTAAAATAAAATTTTCATTATACAATCGTATTGCGTTACAACATACAGTTATGTTTAGAGTATTAAGCACAGAAGTAAATTTTGATCTAAGGGCGTAATCGCAGCCCTCAACAGTACGTTCCAAGTCTGGTTTTAATTCTCCAAGATGTTTTAAAATTGGAAAGATTACTAGCACTGCAGAAAAATCACGCCGTACGATACATCTCTTAGCACGAGTTGCTATACTCTCTCCATCATGAGCTACAAGATCCATAGCTTCGCGTACTGTAGCCTCTAATACTTGTGCTTGTAGACTAATCGGTAAAATTTTAGCAACTAGTGACCGTTCCGCTTGCATAAGTTTATGAAGACCAACCGTTAACAGCAAGTAATTTTCCATTTCTTGTTCATCTGGTGCTGTATCCTCTACAGAATGTCCAGATAACTGTGGTGGTGGCTTCCTAGATGCAGTTAAAGACAATCCCAAACCAGTAGTCTGAGAAGCTTTTAGCAACATTCTACTAGCTTTTTTTTCTAAAGCATGCTGTAATCTTTTAGAAGCTCTTTTGCCACTATTTTCTTGAATTCCCAGTGAATGTCTGTTCCCAAATTTTGTTTTCTACAAATAGCAATATAACTAGCATTAAATTGTAAATAATCAATTAATTATGATCAAAAGAATATTTTATTAAGTTTCTTACTGGTAAAGGACTTCCTGCATGCGTACTGCCACCACTAGCACTCCTTTGATGTTCTTTTAACAACTGTAAAGATCTTAAAACAATAGCAGAACGTACAGATGCATAAATTTTTACATGTTTACGGTGTCCCCTCTCCTCCAACCATGCAGCAATTTTAAGTAAATCTCCTAAAATACTTTCTGGTAATTGACAAAGGGATTGAGGGGCATCCTCACCACTAGTATCTTCGTCTGATCCGATTAAATCCAAAAGAACGATTGGAAGAATTGGTTTACTTTGTCTAGTTAAAATATCATGAAATTCTGCATATAAAGCATCTAAACCAACAACAAACAAACTTGTTACATTTTCTAATTCTACAGAGCTTGGATTATTTTTTTGAAAATAACGTTGAGCATTGTAAAGACGATTCATTGCTTCCAAAAAATTATCTAGTCCTCCAGATCCTCCTGGACCAGCTCTCACTGTAGCTTCTACTTCTTGACAGACCCCATAGTACCCAATAGCATGATCTAAAGCATTTAACGTCATTTCTATATCTGTAAAGACAAAATAAACAAAATTACGCTATTACATGACAAATTACAGATTTGAAATATTTATATGATTAACATTAAAACGTTCAGATATACTGATTGAACTAAATATTATGAATTAGATACAATACTATTTAATTAATTTGTCATTTGCTGAAAATGTCCCAATAAAAAAGCTATAGCAACAAAATCTGACTGTCAAAGTGTCAATATATATTAATTGCATTTAGTTTATAATAATATACTTTGTTGTTGCGCTTGAAGGTTCCCTGTTTCATTGTAAACAGGAAGTATAGTTCGACGCAATGTAGCAAGACGTTGTTCTAAAGAAGATAGAATTCCTACAACATTACTGGTTAATTTCCTGCTTCGTTCTTCTGCTTCTTTCAATGCTTCTAAAGAAGCAATTTCTGCTTCTAATTTACATTGTATTTCAAACCTTCGTTCAGAAGTATCTGCTCTTGTAGTGTGCATTATTTTATCTGAAAATAGTACGATACATATGTGTAACAGAAATCGGGAAATATTTTAAATTCTTTGAATAGTTAGTGTCACTTTATTCGCTATGTAAAACACGTATATTAAAAATATTTGTATAAAATTACGATGTAATGTCATTGCTATTTTAATATTGTATGTTATATTATGATATAACCTTTTTTCATTACATTATTGCTATTGTACCTTTATAATCGATCGATTAGATATCAAATAATTATTAAAGATTTTCTATATATTCATGAATACAAAGAGATACAACATTGTGATGCAACTACTGATATAAAAATGCCCTATTCAAATGAAAAGTTTTATTACTATAATTTTGAAATCTCAGAAAATACTGCTAAAATATATGACTGCTTGCTATTGTAATGTACTCTGTGTGATTAAACAAGCTAAATAAATTGCAAAAATACATGAATTAAATATTTGATTTATTCAGTGTATTAATAAGAAGTACTATATCATATTAGTATATTAGATACGACAGGAACCTAACATAAACAAACAGTAACTCAAATTTAAAAAGAAGTTAAAATAACACACTATTACGCTTTTAACAAAAAAATAAATATTTTAATGAATTGACAAGAATTAAGATCATAAAAATTTAATCCTAGCTTTTTCAGCTCTAGAACTATTGAAAAAACGTAATAAAAATTTCGATTTATTATGGCTATTTGTTAATAAGTTGGTACTTCTGAAATTAAGCAGCTGTTCAAGAAGTAGTATGTAATCGACAAAGAGACGAAACATAAGAATTAGATCGAATTCGACTTGATCTTGATACATTGATACCATACTTTACATTCGAATTAATAAGTTAACAGCATATCGTTAATAGGATTATAGAAATACTAACACATAAATAAATAAGGAATAATCTAATTTATAGTATTAGATATAGTAATTCAATATAGATGTTTAATCTATTATCGTATTTTTGCATGTTATAAGGTATTTACATTAAATATTCTATGTCATTATTAAGCATTATGAGCGATATACAAGTATAAGTGACTGAGATCTGTGTGACCTTTATTTACATAAGATAATAAAGATACTTTCTCCTATACTTTTAAAGAAACAAGTTACAGATTATATATTCATTTGATTTTTAGAAGCATTTACAATATGGACAAACCTGTATCTTCAGATATTGTACTCATTGCGGGCAATTCCCATCCAGAATTGGCTAATCTTATTGCCAAGTACGTTTTCACAAATATACATGTATATTTATAATCATTCATTACTCCAATTATAATTGCTTTGCTTTATTAGTCGATTAGGTGTTAAACATGGAGGATGTTCTGTGTATCATAAATCAAACCGTGAAACTATGGTTGAAATTGGAGATTCTGTGCGTAGCAAAGACCTCTATATTATTCAAACGGGAACAAAAGATGTAAACAATAACATAATGGAACTTTTGATTATGGCATATGCATGCAAAACTTCTTCTGCAAAGAATATTGTCGGCGTAATTCCATATTTGCCTTATTCTAAGCAATGCAAAATGCGTAAACGAGGTTGTATAGTTTCTAAATTATTAGCAAAGATGCTCTGTAAGAGTGGTTTAACACATATAATTACAATGGATTTGCACCAGAAGGAAATACAGGGATTTTTTGATGTACCAGTGGATAATTTGCGTGCTAGTCCCTTTTTATTACAATATATTCAAGAATCTGTGCGTAAATAATATTAGTAAAACTGATTATCATAGAATTTTATGACTTAACTTCGAATTTTATTTTATTAGATACCAGATTATCACAATTCAGTGATAGTTGCAAGAAATCCTGGTAGTGCAAAAAAAGCAACTAGCTATGCAGAAAGATTACGTTTAGGAATAGCAGTCATTCATGGAGAACAACGAGAGGCAGAGTCAGATATGAATGACGGACGTTATTCTCCACCTGCATTGGCCTCACGAACAATGGAAGTTGGCGTTGGTGTGCCAATGCATCCTGCAAAAGAAAAGCCTCCGATTAATGTAGTGGGGGATGTAGGCGGACGCATAGCTATTATGGTGGTATGTATGTTTAAATGTAAAAATTAAATAAAACGGGACAATTTATTAAAAATTTGTACATTTGATACATTACACTTACATTGTGTTACATTACAGTAAATTTCTACATTATTATGCATTGTTATATTTCAGGATGATATGATAGATGATGTTCAATCATATGTAGCTGCAGCAGAAGTTCTTAAAGAAAGAGGAGCATATAAAATTTATGTTCTAGCTACGCATGGACTTTTAAGTTCTGATGCACCAAGATTAATAGAAGAATCTCCAATTGATGAGGTAGTATAATATTTAACAGCTTATTTAAAACGACATAAGTTATGTGAAGCAGTTTGTAAGCGAATCATTTCACTGACATTTACTTGATCTTAAATAGCTTTGTGAAGATCATGATTATGTTTTCAAATGGACATGTAGATTTGTATTGTATATTTTTAGCTGATATTAGAATACAGATTTCCGTTTGACGATTCAAGGTCGTCATAAGGTTAGATAAATATCAGCATGGCTCCTTGATATACTATAGTTTTCATCTGACATACTTTTACGTGACTTTTGTATCTGTCGAGATATTTAATTGTTTCCATTTAAATTGAATATGTGCATAAATGCATGTATATACAGGGTGTCCCATCTGATGACATAGTTTGATCTCATCCCTCTTAATGGTAAAGGAAAGAGTAGGTCATTCCGTTTAAAAAACTTTACTATTAAGATCTCAGAAGATCTTGAGATGAACTTCATTCTTATAGTCTAATTTCCTCCTTGAGATATAATAATTTTCTCTCGAAACATTTTTTCTTTTTGCACCGTGACAAATGAGAGAGTAATTAAGGGTGGCAGAGTTAGGTGGCACTGTATATATGTATATATATGTATTTAAGTTTTTTCTTAAAGTTGAATCTATAATTAGATATTATTTTTAGGTCGTTGTTACAAATACTGTTCCTCATGACGTCCAAAAGATGCAGTGTCCAAAAATAAAAACTGTTGATATCAGTATTTTGCTGGCAGAGGCTATTAGGCGTATTCATAATAAAGAATCCATGTCATACTTGTTTAAAAATGTCTCTTTGGAAGATTAAAAATTACAATGAGATAATATCTTTCAAACATACTGACAGTTTCCATATCTGAGGACCATATGCAAAACATATCTATTAAATTTTGTCTATTACTTTATTTTATGAAGAATTAATCATGCTAGTCCTGTTTTATATAGATACACACGCGCGCGCGCACACACACACACACACACACATTTGAATTGCTTGACAATTTCTATACATTTAAGTTTCTGTATATCTGAACTGATAACTGATAAACTTACATAAAATAGATTGCAAGATTTTGGTTTTAGTTGTATATGCGAGTTTTGGTTGTATATATTTTGACTTAGAAAATTTGTACTATTGCTCACCTAACAAACAATAACTACATTTGAAGATGTGGGGATCATAAATATACGTATTACGCTAATATATGAAATAATAATATAAATTTAACAGAAAATAGAATAACACTTTTTCTTTCCTTTAACTAATTTGAATGCAATTATTATATACATAATTGGTGAACACATTCGAATTAAAACAAATGGATCAATAAAAATGTTGCTATGACAATAGATCAACTATAGCTTCAAAATCCGCTGCTTCTAAATTGTTTGAAATTTTAAAAATATTTTAAGCTTTGTCAGAATGTCTGTGGAAACTGCAAATAATGAATTTACTAGAATTTGTGTTATGTTACAATCGGAAGTAAAAAAGCGACGGATACAAGGTTTGAAGGAAGTTTTCACATTGTTAGAATTACAGCAATCTGAGAATGAAATCGTAAAATTATGGGATATTATAAATAAATATCTGTTGAGAATTTTAAATGATTCTGTAGAAGAATGTCGTGATCGAACACTGGAGATTATCAAGTTATTTATAATTAATTTAGCACCGAATGATAAGTATATTATGTATTTACTCCCAATTTTATCCAAAAGATTAGGTTCTTCTGAGCAAATAGAGACTTCAGAAGAAGTTCGACTGAAGTGTATTACGTTATTAAAAATAATAGTACTGAAATACGAAAACTTATTAGCATTATACATTGATGATTTAACAAAAATCTTAGTACAAAGTCTAGCAGACAATTATCCACTTGTTAAAAGAGAAAGCTGTGATTGTGTATCTGAATTTGCAAAGAATTTGTCAAGATATTTCTACGCACAATCGCAAAACTTTGTAAAACCAATTCTAAATAACTTTACACACCAACATCATAGAATTAGAATCGCTTCTGTTAAAACAATAGGAGATTTAATCCAATACGGAAATAGTAAATCTATAGAAGAAGTAGCTACACCAATGGCAGAAAGGTTGTTTGATCAGAATGGTCTTGTTAGAAAAGGTATTTCATTATTTTTATTCTTTATTTAAACAAATTATATTTAATATCATTGTACTGTTTCATAGCTGTAATAGAAGTAGCAGGTTATTGGCATCTAAACCTAAAAGATCGATATAACTGGTGGCATAAAATTCTTCCACTACTATTAACGGGTCTACATGATGAATTAGAAGAAATTAGACAAAAAGCTGGCAACTTTTGGGATGCTGCGGGACAATTGTATGTAGAAGAAAACCAGAATGATGAAAAATTGAAAAACAAACTGGATTTTCTTACCAAAGATCGTCATCATTACCCTAATGGTATGTTTAGTTAACAAATTGCTATAAAATATTATTTATGTCGTTATAAATCTCTTGCAGTTATTAGACCAAACTTAGGATGCCGTGTAATAGCACAACAATGCTTCAGTAAATTGATAAATGGAATTTGTTTGGAATTAGGAGATTGGATTGCAGACATACGAGTACGATCTGCACAATTACTTTGTGTATTTATTTTAAACATAGAAGAAGATATAATACAGCATATTGGAAAACTCTTGCCTCCTATGTATCGGTAAATGTATTAGTATTAAAATAATGCATTATCAAATTAATCTTTAACTAATCATACTGTTGACTAATAATTATTTATTAGAGCTTGTAATGATGAAGATAACAGAGTTGTGGAAAATGTAGAAAGAGCTGCAGAATATTTAGGATATTTTGTATCTCCAAAAATTTATTGTCATTTGATAATCCCTACTATTGAAGACACTCCATCTGTAGGTCATTTAAAAGTATTTTCTGCAGTTTTAAAAGGTAGTGAACAATGTATGCTTCTTCCATTATTGGAAGATATTGGAAAATTCTTACAACAATCACGTATCTGTCAAAGTAAAAAAGGAGCATATCAAAAAGAAATACTTTCTTGTTGTTCTTCTTTACTTTTAGTATGCAAAATGGTTTGTTTTATAAATATCTACATCATTAATTTTATTATTTCTTGCGCTAATATATTAAACAAATTTTAGGATTGCAAACTTATATCAAAGGAATTATTTATAATAATATTCACTGTTTTGTCTATGACACAAGAAAACTTGATAAATTTGAAAGCACAAGAATTACTAAGTATACTTGCTAGCATTAATTCACTTGATAATGTTGAAGAGTTATATCATAAATACATTGGCCAATTATTTTCAACATTTTCTGACTATAAATCATGGTCAATTCATGATCCAGAATCTCAAATTTTTTGTGCATGTTTAACTTATGCTAAGCAAATTTTTGCTTATAATATGAACATTATTTTACCAGTTTTAAAGCAAACTCTGACGGATGATGCAGATCCTGAATTGAGACTGAAACATTTTATTTTATTATCAGAATATTTTAATCAAGGATCTTCAAATGAGATTATGGATATGAAATTTTCTAGTCAATTTTTGAAAGATTGTATACTTCCTGGATTGATTTGGACAGCAGGAAGAACTGCTGAAGCTATACGTACTGCTGCAGTAACTTGTTTATGTTCGTTTTTAAATAAATATGAAAAAGACTCTGTTATGGAGAGAATTACAAATCATGGCGAAGAAAATATTTGTTTAATATTTGATCAAATAATTCCTGTTTTAATTAGTCTTGCAGATGATAATTCTAAAACAAGTAGATTTTATTCTTTGCAAGCTATGTATTTAATAATGTGTATCCGGAAGCAGTTTGATCACCTCGCGGAAGAATACATACATAAAATATATCCAATACTTTTGAAAAGACTTGATGACGGATGTGATGATGTTAGAGTAATATCATTAGAAGCTCTAACAGAAGTTTGGAGCGCAATACCTAAGGATTATGACATACAGTTTAATAAAGGACATGTAGATACTTTGTATACCACAATTATCATATATTTGGATGATCCAGACAGCAAATTTCAAAATATTGCATTAGGTAATAACGTTTAATATAATATTTATGTAAATTGTAATATAATTGTCATATATAAAGTACTTATCTTTTAGATAAATTAAAGGTATTAGCCAAAGTGCATCCAGAATTATTATATCAGAAACTTCAGAAATGTAAGACAAATTTTAGAAATCGAAGGGATATGGAAACATTAATAGAACACTGTCAATTTATTTTAACCAATAAATAAAATTGATGACCGTCAATTTCTATTAACCAATGAGTAAAATTGATAGTTATTATGTACGAATAATATTCTATTCAGTGACAATATTTCTTGTATAATGTATATGTATATTTATTGTAAACAAAAATTAATTAATTTATTCAAAATAAATTTCATAAGCAGAATTTAAAATATCGTCTCATTTCAAGGTTATCTTAATTTCTGGCAATTTTTTTTAACAATTAACGTGAAAATATAACAACTGTTTGATACAAATACCCACAAAGAATCTACTTCTTTATTTTTTTCAATAAATTAATGTCTAAAAATGAATATGTATATATAAAAACGTGGGAAGACGATCTATAGATTTAAAGAATATACGGACATACACAATTTAGGAAATTTGTAATATATTTAAATGACCAAGAGATTAAAATAAACATACATATTAACTAAATCGAAGGATCTCATAAGATGATAACATAAATAAACTATTCCTTTTTGGACAAGAAATAATACAGGAACCTATGCAAGGAAAAGTTAACCTTAAAAAAGTATTAAAACAGGAAGTACCCGCCCTTTTGAAGTCGCCATATTGTCCATGTCTTCCGCTTTCAGAGGCGAATCACAAAGGGGTGGCAAACAGGATTAAGAAATTGCCAATAATTCTGTCCAAGTTTTCATTTCAAGCTTCATCTTATTATTTTATAATTGTGGTAAGCGTACCATTTGAACATTATATTTCTTCTAGTTGAAAAGTACTTTTTATGAATTTTTTTTTCGTTCGTAAGTCTGTTCAAACATTTTTTATCTTTCTGTCACTTTCTTATCTCAATAATTCACACATTTATTTTATAATGGAATAATTACTTAATATTTCTTAGTAATATAAAAATATTGAAGAAATACATAACATGAATAATTTGTACTGAATTTTTAATTTGAATCATCTAAAAATATTCTGTAGAAGCATATCTATATGGTTATATCTGTACGTCATAAATATATATCTGCACTGATGTTCGAATTTCAAAAATTGGTTAATGATTAAATGCAATGTTACGTTTATTGCTGTTAGAAGTGTCAGATTCATTACCGATCAATTATTAAACAAGATTAGTAACCAACTTTTCCATTATTCTCATAATCCAGTAACCGCTTAGCCTGTGAAGTTCTGTTGTCAAATAAGTGAAATATTTATCAGGATCCGTGATGTAAAATTTCTCATAAAATACTTGGGATATTCTCATGTGACTTATAATATTTAAGTTTATAGTATTTAAGCTATTAATAAAATATGTTTTTGTCACAGTAAACATGTCAGAACCTAATACCGATCACATTGACTCCGTAGAAGAAGAATTAGAAGTGGAATCTAACTACAAACCCCCACCAGAAAAAACAATAGAACAAATCCTAGAAACAGATAAAGAAGATGAAAGTTTACGCAAATATAAAGAAACTCTTTTGGGAGAAGCAAAGTCTGGAGGTGTTGTTGTAGGTGCGCATTTCATTAAATATTTAAAATAAATTACCTAAAAGAGAAGATAAATAAAAGGTATGATGCTCTAAAATTTTATAGATCCAAATGATCCCAGGAAGGTAATAGTAAAGAAGTTAGCGCTGTGCGTAGCAGATCGGCCAGATATGGAATTAGATTTAACAGGTGACCTTTCTCAGTTAAAGAAACAGACATTTGTAATAAAAGAAGGTGTTAGCTACAGAATCAGGATTGACTTTATTGTTCAACGTGAAATTGTGCATGGCCTAAAATATGTTCAAAAAACTTATCGTCTTGGAATGCCAGGTAAAATTTTCATTAAAGATAAAATATTAGTTATATCTTAACTTTCTTTTTTATTGCTAACTTAAAATTTTTAATTATGTCTAATTTAGATTACTAAATTAATATTAAACCATTATATTTCATTTTTGTTCAATGCTTTCTGCTTTAGGTGTCACAGGTATTTTTAAAACAAAGTATTGACAGTACCGTATGTATGGCTTAACATGTTTAATATTCATTTGCCTTGTTATCCTTTCAGTGGATAAGATGATGCATATGGTGGGTTCTTATCCTCCAAAAACGGAAATTCAATCATATACAACACCAACGGAGGATGCACCAGCTGGAGTAATGGCACGTGGTTCTTATAGTGTAAGCTCTTTGTTTACTGATGATGACAAACACGAACACCTAAAGTGGGAATGGTCATTTGAAATTAAGAAAGACTGGAAAGAGTAAGCTCCCTTTTATAATGGGAAGCCCTACAACGATCGCAATTAAAATAAAAATGCCAAAAGGGACTCTAATTTTTATAGATATTCAGTCATACTGCGATGCCATAACTGTATTTTTTAAGTAATAAGAGAAAGAGTAACATTGATATTTATTTAGATACTTTTCCTAAATCATAAACCTTCAAAGTGAACAATTGAGTACATGAATATATGCATACATAAACGCACATACTAAGATATGTATATGTGTATATATATTTACATAAACATATGTATATGTATGTATACACATACATAGTGAATCACGTAGGTACTATTTTATAATCATTTAAATTGTGTATATCAGTCAGTATTTAATTGCCTTTATATTGCGGTTATTCATATATTCCTCTTAATTTTTCCAATTAAGATCAGTGTAAGATTCTTTAGTATTATATTGTTAACACATTTTGCTAAAGTTTACTGTCTTGATTCAAACCCCTCAATAGTATATTTTAACTAACGGTTGAATGACAAAAACATGCTATTATTTCAAATACTTTGTTTCAAATACTTTTAGTATTCAAAGCTTGGAAATATCTTAAAGTTCAAGAATATAAATATATATCAAATTAATATACACACACATTATTAATGTAGAAAATTTAAATGGTGCGCTTCAAATATTTCTTTATGTCATATACATATATACATTATTACTTTTTATTATATCGTATTAGACTTAAATTGTTTTGAAATATGGAAAAATTTCCCACATAATGTGACATTTTTATAGTCCTTCGTGCGTCAAATTTAAACTATTAATTAATTTTTTTTGTTTTAATAAGAATTTACAATATGAAATAATAATTGTTTTATAAAACAATTTTTTTTAGAAACAGTTTTATAATGTACATTAATAGAAATTGCAATATGTATTGCAATTGTAATTCCAAACTGCAATAAAAATAAAAATATAAATTGCTTCTCAGTTACAGCTTAGAAAAGGCAAGTTACAAGCAGAAATTATTTTTTTGCTGATTTTCTTTGCTGTGCATGATGTGTAATAAATAGTGTATGCATTTAACGCGAGTCCCTATGTGTAGAACAATATCAAGTTTCAACTAGAGGGACTAAAAGTTTGTTATTAAAAAGTGTTATTTTAATATATTATTCATTTTTTTTTTTTCTACATTTTAGAAATAATAGTTTATTAGAATTGCTTCTCTACTTTATTCATTAACAGTACCACGCTAATAATGTCACACAGCAGTAAAATATTAAAAAACAAATGAAAAACAAAACAATTTTAAAAGTTAAAAAGTTGATTCTATTTAAGAATGCACCGAAAATGTATTTAATACTGTTCATGATTCTAAAGCTGGACACATGTTAACCTATAATTTTAAGGTTATACTACGTATACAATAAAACCGTAACTAGCTGCAGTAAAAATAAATGTTAGTAAATTATTTGCAATTATTATTTTATGCTCCGCTTTTGTTATATTTTTACTATATTCAATTAATATATATTTTATTTAAATAAAGCATGGCAAAAGATATTTTGTTATAATAAACTAATGTGATGGTTTTATGATGTTAAATATTTAGAATGTCCATAAATGTATAGATCGTAACATCTTTCGATTAATATTTTATAAATATTTGAAAAATAAAAATTTTGATTCATTTACAATGACCATGTAACATTTTTGTATTGAAAAATAATTATGTTTTATCTATAAGTGCGAGAATGTAATAAATATACATGTTAGTAAAAAATAATCGTCCTTGCAATTATGTATTTTGTGAAGTAATCTAATATCAGATTTTCTAAATGTAACTTTCCATGTACCAAAAACAGTTTTTCTTAATTAATGCTAGTTTTATGTATAAAAATAAAAGGTCATTGATTTATTTATATTCTATTTTGTTAACTAACTATATGTAACTTCTTTTGAGTTGATAATCATATAACCTAAGATAAAATAATCTAATTTTTTTATATATATATATACATGTGTAATATGTTTATAAATATTGACTTTAATCTTCAATAATTATGATCAGTTTTTGGAAATAAAAAATTGAGCAAAGTTTAATTATAAACTGTAGTAGCAAATATAATGAAAGCAATGAAATTTTACGATTTTAGTATATTATAAATCAATCCATGAAATGTAAATTTCTTACTACTATGAATCAATTTTTACTTCCACCATTAGATGGTACTATACTTAATATTTTTGCCTGAATGATAGGTGAGAGGTTATTGCGTATAATTTATTTTATGTGTCTCATCAGTATTAAAAGAATTGCACTTTGAAGTATTTGCCAATTTAAATAATTTATTTGTATAATGTATCAAATACATTGGAGTAAAGATGAATTCTTCTATCCTTCTATCCTTTCGTTGTGGTTGTTCTGAAACAAATCTTTCTTTAATGTTAATGGATTTTTTTTTACAAAATTTCTGAATTTAAAATTTAAAAAGGAACACTTTGAAACGACACCGACCATTTTTCACTTTTACATTTGGCACGACTGTTTTTATTTTATACGAGACATGGAAATGCTATTCTTTCCTTCAATGCTTGTTACTTTTTGAAAATTAGGAGAACCGAAAATGGCCACAGACCACAGACAACACTAATTACACAACTGGTCTAAGCAAGATGAGAAAGATCTTCTTGACAAAACAAAGAAAATCACACCACCAAATTCACGATCAACTTCACGAGAAAACTTGTGTTCAACCCATACGACCAAGTTAAGTCACAGCATGCATCTCCCTTTCTTTTTTTTCTTTTCTCTCTCTCTCTCTCTTTTTCTCTTTCTTTTTTTTTTTTTTTTTTTTTAAAGCAATATAATTAAAACTTTCCTACGTAATGATTGTTTTCTTTTGATACCACTGAAACTAACTAAGTATTTCTTCTTGTAAAATTTCCATTCCCTATTAAATAGGTCGTTACATCTTTAAATGCCACTGAAATTATTAATGCATTCTTCCCGTTAAAAATCATTTACATTTCTAATGCAACAATCTTTACTTTCATTTGACGCCACTGAAACTTTGGTAGGTAAAGTAGGAATAATGAACGCATTGACTCAGCGTAATAGTCATCTATTTGTTGTTCCGACACTATAGTATTATTGAACCACTGCACCTTTGGTTGCGCCATGCTATAACGCACTTTTAAAATAGTACTTTAAAAGAGCGTCACAGTGTTGGTCGCCAAGCACAAACACTTGGATTATTATTTTTTTTTTTTTTTACATTTCACTGTACACGTTCTGCTTTTTTTCTTCTATGCTTTTCAAATATTCATCACCAAACACTGTCTTTTTAGATTCTGTCCTGTTTCACTGGAAGAAAAGCACATAGAGCTATTTAGGTATACTGTCCTTTCACTTTCATTAAGTTCACTTTTCAAAACACGTTCGCACAATTCACTTACATAAGTGTTGGATGTATATATCACACGGATAATTCTACATAGTCATAAAATGCAGCTTTACAATTAACTAGACTTAATTACTGTATCAAATATAGCTTCAACCAGACCTTTCATATTTCACCTTTATCTTCATTAAGACTCGTATTGTAAAAGAAGATTCATCATGAAATTTTGAAAACAAAATATTTTTTAAAAGATTTCGCTTGAATATGAAAGAACTGTATGTGTGTGTGCGCGCGCGCGCGTGTGTAGATGTGTGTGTGCGTGTGTGTGTGTGTATATATATATATATATGCGCAGATTATACGATTATAATACAAATTAAATCTATGTCTCTTACGAATTATTTATGATAATTAAAATAACTTAATTAAGCGTTTCCTCAGAACTTAATGAACTCTGAATTGCTTTAATGTTAAACGCTATGAATACTTTTCTAAATAAAAAGAAAAATTAAGAGTATATATATATACGTAATAGCTGAAAATATTGTAATAAAAATTAATCAATATATTTGATTGAAAATTAAAATAACATTCTGTATAGAATTGTTACCATTATTATTACTTTAATATTGTTATTAATATAACTTAAATTTTCCTTGCAATTCAGATTCATAATAATTTCATTTCTTTTTATGCATATACAGGCTTGTACGTCTAGTAACCTTTCGATGTCCCTAAACATTCATAATTAAAAGAAAAAGAGTACGAAAGGAATTGTTTACATTGATCTAATTGATCTAATATTTTCTTATAATGTAATAGATACCTGAATTTATATTTTGAAATTTCTTTCACAATCCAAACTATCGTATGTATCATTTTACATAACATTTATTAATAAAATTGCTTATTTAAAAAATTTGTATCATGTATGTTTACTCTGAATATTTTTGATACTTTGTTTCAATACCTTTTGTTTAAGCTTTCCTTCTCCCTCATTTTTTTTTCTTTTTTTTTAATACAAAATTTCAATCTATATTATATAATGTACAATTTTTAACAAATATTTTTTGTCGATGTAAATATGGTGATTTATGAGAACAGAGATCATAAGACAGATTCATATTATAAATTTTCTAAAATTTTGCACATTTCAAATATAAAGTATTTCTTTAAAAGACTGTAACTCATTTTTAATATGAGAAATGGTACTAAACACTCCAGCCAGTATATACATGTATCCATTCTAGTTTGTGATCATCGAGGAAACTTAAGCACTACCCCCCTTAACAACGACGATTACCAGATGATCCTCCTTAAGTCCCTCTTCACTGAGGCTTGGACAGGTTCGTTTTAATAGTTCTGTAGAGAATGTACAAGGTGGAAATGCATAAAGCACCCCAGTTCCCTCTGTATCTTTGTTAAGCAATGAAATGACACCAGCTGCTTCCTTTTGTTTTAAATATGATACTAAGTTGCGTAAGGGCCTGGTTTGAACATTAGCATCATCTGTAGATATAACTGTACTTGAACCAGCCAGTCCTAGGAAAATAGCATGTGAACTAGAAGTTTGAATTCTCTTTGACACATCATCTAATTTTGGTTGATCTAAACGTAATCTTTGTGTAATTCTCAACATATGTTTTCCATCTTCATCTTTCATCAAGGCCTCGATTATTTCTGTGTCACCATCAGTTAAATGGAACTTAGCTGGAAATAGAGAATTCTTTAAGATTAGTGCTCCTTGCCATATTGCTATTGATTTCCTTGCCACTTCGGGCAATGTTCGAGAAGTAGACAGCATTCCACTACGAGTATTCTCTGAATCGGAATCAGAGTCAATTTGCCTTCTACGAGGAGATCTTGATCTTGATCTATCTACACCAGGTTCTCTCGATAAAGATCGACGTAAGCTTCTTGGTGTTTCATACTCTAATTCTGGAGGCGGTCTGCGGCTAGACCAATCGGCTTCTTCTCTCATATAATTTTCTGGATAAGTCCCGCGATAACCCCCTCTTCCTCCGCCCCTTCTTTCATGCCAAGGTGCAGATCCCCTACCTCGGAATCCTCTTGGTCCATAACCAAAATCACTATCTGGCCCGTAAGGATCGTAAGGAGGTTCATAATCTACTGGTCTTGGTCTAAATTCTCCACTTTCTTCTGGGTAGGGTCTTGGTTTATATCCAAATCCAGGAGTCACATCTGCAAAATCGACTCTCAGCCTCCTATCTGGACCACCTAGAGGAAATCCTCTCATTTCTTTTACAGCAGCCTGTGCTGCATCAATTGAATCATATAAGATATAAGCATTACTATCGCCTTTGATATAATCAATCTTTTTTATTGCCCCAAATCGATCAAATTCTCTTTCTAGCTGTGGTACAGAAGTCCATGGTCCTAAACCACCAACCCAAATTCTTGTGGTAGGTGTAGCTTTCCCATATCCAATTTTACATTGGAATTTTCCTATATATTGTCCAGAGAGTTCAACTTTACATCTATGTGCCATATCCAATGTCTGAAATCTGACAAAAGCATAAGCATTTCCTGTACCTGGTGGAGGTCTTTTAATATCAATATCATCAACGATTCCATATTTACTAAAGATACGTCTTAATTCGTCTTCTGTAATGTTGATCTCTAAGTTCCCTGCGAAAAGTGTTCTTGTCGCTAGTGGGTCATCTTCTGGAGAAACATGATGTAAATAATTGGGAAATTTATCTTTTTTATTCTCCACGCGTTCAAATCCATGAACTGGATGTCGAATCATCATATGCCTTGGAGGGCCATAATGATGAGGTGGACCAGGATGAACGTGGGGTGGGCCATGATGAATTGGTGGTCGAACAAATTCATGATGAGGAGGAGGGATTGCCTCACGCCTCATTTCTCTGTGCGGTGGAGGCAAACCAACTGGAGGTCCATAAACTCTTTCATATCTTTCTAAAGGTCTATGTCTATCTGTTGGACCAGGACTTCTGGCATAGTATCTTTCATAATCAGGGGGCGTGATCGATCTTGGACGTCGGTAGGTATCAGGTCTTTCATAAACTGGTTCAACAAGTGCTACCTTGTCATACATAATGATTCTTGGTTTTGCATGCTTTGCATCTCTAGCATCTTCTGAACTTCTGAAGCAAACATATGCGACACGTTCATCTAATTCATGAGAAATTCTAATAGAAAAATCTCCGAACTTCTTATATTCTCTATAAAGAGTATCTTTTATCACTTCGTCACTTGCTTTTGGGTGAATTGAACTGATACAAAGCACTTTATAACTATATGGACGCTCTGGTGGTAATTCTCTGGGTGCTCTTAAATAATCATCTCTATGGGAGCTTGATTCTACGTAACGTGCATGAGAGGAGGCACGCGTTGGAGGACTGGGACTTCTTGCACCTCTACTACGTCGGCGAATTCTTTCAGGAGTTATTCGCTCATCACTGGAATCATCATATCTGCAAATTAATTAAAACAGTTCTATTATAATTGAAATACTTTTTGTTATATCGTAAAAAACAAAAAATTTCAACAATTTACTATATACATATGTACTTGTTACCTCTAGGTAATGTTATATACCATCTCTAAGTCTATATATCTAAGTATCTATTCTAGTAAAGAAATATAAAGTAAAATAATACACACTTCGTATAAATTTCTAAAAATAGAGTTTAGTATATTATGAAAAATTTTTACCGTCCCATCGATGATCTACTTCTCTTGACGCGCGGAGGAGTGTCACGACTAGAGCTCCTTTTCATATTGTTGCGGATTTTAACCGTGATCTTATGTCGATCGTCACGCGGAATCCCAATCATCAACGCTGTTTAACACGGCAGAGCCGAACAAATGGCGAAGGAAAAACAAAGGAACAATAATTACAGAAAGATTACTCGGCTTGAATCAAGCCGTCATTCACGAAGTCTTTATCCTCCTCAATGAGCACAAAATGGCGACTTTCCTCTTTCCTTACTTAACTTCCGGAATTTCCTAGTAAGCTAAAAGGAATTCCATAGAAATTTAATCAAATATTTAAGCTCTGCATTTCTTCAAATCTCTTAATCTCTTTTAACTCGGTTTATTCTTTCCAAATTATATTTGTTTTGATTTCTCTCTCTCTCTCTCTCTCTTTCTCTGTTTCTATATATATATATATATATATATATGCTACTACTTGCATGTAAAAACTATTGATTCGCAAATTGATGTGCAAGTAGTACGTTTCCGTCGACGAAACGAGATGATCCGCTCAACATGTATTGAAGAAACAGCTACGCGCTTTTCTTTCTAGAGGGCACTTCAAACATATCAGTAGTTTTACTATTTCACGAGAGAGTGCATTCTATAAGAAATTTGATTGGTTGTATAAAATATGGAATAGATAATTTTATTTTTTTCTATTCTATATTATTTTGGAAATAAGTAGAAATAAATGAATTCAAATCGCGTATCTATATCGTTATAAAGATGTTATAGTTTCGAATTTGAAAAAAGATTTTTACTCGTTTAAGGGGTAATTCTTTTTCATAAATGTTAATGCTATAAGTAGTAAGTAATTTATTGCATTATCCGTACATTTGAATGTTTTCTGGTACAATATATAACACATTTTAATGCGCTATAAATAAAAAAAAGATTAATAAAATATATGATATAATTGTTTTACATTCTAAGTAAATATATTTTGACGCAATTGTCCTTAAAAATATGTGAAAGGTGCGAGATTATTTAAGGTCGTTTGATAATAATTTCTGACAGTATGAAAATATTGTGCATCAATTCATCTATATATTATTGCTAATTCTGCATAGGTTTTATATGAATCTAATCTGACTTAGTTTTGCTAAGATTATTATTGAATTATTAAAGACTTCCGAATAAGAAATATTCTTAAGCATTTTTTTTTCATTTTGGAATTTTGCAAGTAGAAAGTTTTGTAAGAATGATTTGTAAACTATGATCTATTAATTGTAAAGAGTGTATAAATATTATGCGTAAAGATCACCATTGGAAGATGAGGTGCATCGATCGGCACATCATTAAGAAATGTTATTGCATTTTAAAAAAATATAGTTTACATGGTTTACATCTCCACTTATAAAGAAAAGCTAATAACATCAAATAGTACCTCCTTCAGTTCCATTCAATATTTGTTTGAAAAGTTTTTCTATACAGTGATGGACAAAATACAATGAAAACAAAAAGATTTTACCTTAAAATTCAAGCTGCAGGACAATTTTTCACTGAACGTTTCTTACAAATGTCCACCGACCTGAAGTTGTATCGATCTTTATACATAATATTTATACATTCTGTGTATATTTATAAAAGGTTCGGAAAAACCCAACATAAAAGTTTTCAAGAAAATGTAGAAGATGACATGACAAATAAGGGAATTGTATTAAATATATGAGAAGTACATAAAGAAAACAAGGTCAATTTCTTACGCCTTTATAAAAAGAGAAAGGTAATAAATATATTATATACATTTGTAACACACTTGAATTACTTAAAAAATGGAATTAGGTATCGATTGATTATAGTTATGATTAATTATAACAGTTTATTTTTTCTTTCTATCATAAACTGTTGTACTTTTCTGTCGAACTCTTGTCTGTTAAATTTATATTCTTGCGCTATGTCTGGCATTAAAGGATCATCAGGATTTGGATTTCCCAATAGACATTTTACAGCATCCAGAAGATTTTTTATTCCGATAGTTGGATTCCAGTTACCTTTCGGTGGCATGTTTAAAAGATCCATACAAATTCGGCCATTATTATCAATATTTGGATGATAAATAGGTGTTTGAAATGTAATCCTTGGAGGTTCAAATGGATATTGTTCAGAAATATCTATGGACAATTGAAAAACGTGTCCACTATATGGGCTTCCAATTGGTCCAATAATTGTTGCAACAAGGTTTTCAAAATTTTCAGACCGTGGATAACAAGAAATACCTTCGACAGGATTTTGACTAAGTTTTTCAAATTCACGTTTTAATCTGATAGATTTCTGCATTATGCCACCATTAATAGGAATAAGCAGATCTCTGAATGTAAGTTAAACAATAAGCTAAATATAATTTAATCTAAACAAACAAAAGAGACAATATAACGTTAATTTAAAATAAAACTATTATTATATAATTGTTGTCTATTTGTAATTGTAATACGTAAGTATTACACAAATAAAATTTTCAATTGTCGAATGACCTTTTTGTTTCTTGTGTTGATAGCATTATTATAATTAATCGATAATGCTTCCCTTCTTTTTTCAAAATTACATTTCTCTGAATAACGAATAAATTAATTGTATGTACCTGAATCAATTATTATTTGTACCTTTTGCCCAATTTTTTATCATTACTTCATTATCTTATATATTGACTTAATACATTCTACTTGCACATACTCTTTACCCGTTCAAATTAAATTCAAATTTTATCTTCCGATTGCTTTAGATATAATTATATCGTACTAATTTTTCATAAAGTTACCTGTTAATGTAACATAACTTTTGCTTAAAAATTATGAACGTTGAATTGTTTTCAAACTAGTTGTAAATAGATGTATCTTTCAAATATTGCGAGTACTCGGTCTAACAGATCCAGCTGGAAAAGGTAACTAAAATTACGTAGTCAAAATCTAGGGGAAAATCTGAGATGTTATAAAATAGTACATATATATTTTCTCGAAGATTAAGTGGAAAGTGAAATGTCGAAAATATAGCTGTGTCGTTTAATTAAATATACTTATACCGTTTAGCAGATTTTTTTCAGTGATATAAAATATCCCTAAAAATTATTATTCACTAGCGACTATTAAGCAATATTTGGAGTGTTTACAAATTAATTTTTATTCACGTGTATATTCAATTTATATATATATATATATATACATATAAAAATGGATATTGCATTAAATTAAACCTTCTTTAAATACGAAATACGGTGATAGCATCACTTGTCAGTATGTATAGGGAATTTAGTTTTAATGTTATAACGGATGTGTAGATGGAACGTAAATAATGTTTGTTTAGAGAAAGTGATTTGAATCTGTACATCATTTCTTTAATAATTACGTATGGATAATGTATAAATATTATGTAATTGTGGATATTTATAATATCATATATGCATATTCAAAGTAACAGAAGAAATATATATATATATATATATATATATAGAGAGAGAGAGAGAGAGAGAGAGAGATTTGACAAAATATTTAAGGGGTTCGTCTATAAGTACCAGGTAGAGTAAGACGAAAATAAAAAAGTAAAAAAGTTGCGTTTGAGTTTCTACGTATTGGTTATTTACATAACATTATTTTATTACGTACGTATATACAAAATTGTGCCTGAGGTCCGGCAAGTTTATTATGCAGACGAAAACGGAGCAATGTTAATTCTGAAGAGGGACGTCTCACGATGACTGCCAGATTGGTCTAGGTGGAGGGGTTTTCGAAATACCGAAGTTTATCCTTTGTTTTTTAAATGGAATTATACACATTTTTATACACCGTTCGATACATCTTTCAACTGCCTACAAAAAAGTATTAAACTATTTTGTCCGACGAGTATGCGAAAATGCTTAGTTTAAGGGATATTTCAATGTTAATTTCACCAAATCGAGTGTACGAAAGACAAGGAAACATAAGCATAAAATCCTTGTCTTATATCTTTCCTTGTTTTTTTCCTTGTATGATCAGTTCTATAAGATTGATGATAAAATGTCATTTGAATTAATCATCTGTCGACCCTTTTAAAGTGCCTTGGTACTTTTCTGTCGAGAATTGAAAGCTGCATCGAATGGTGTATAAGAAAAATGTGTAGTTCTATTAAAAAAAGAAATGTCACCTTGAAATCTCGAAGGTATTGCCACCGAGATAAAATGTTCGCCTTGAAACAATATGAGTTTGATTTGAAACGCTTCCTCGAATGATATACAGGTACACAGGTACGCAGTAATATACAATAGTTTTGGAGATATTTGCGTGGACCGATTAAAACGAGAAACCCTGTATAATACATTATGATAGCACTCGTATTACATTCAAATACATTATCGGTTACGAGCGTTAACTTTAGAACATTGGCAGCGTCGATAACCCTTGCACAATTTATCATTGAGAATATTATTGTCATATAAGCTGATAACGCTGTAAATAATTATGCATCAAGCGTTGTCCGTAATGTTATGTTACAATGTAATCTGTAATCATTGGACCGCAGATATTTATACATTCATTTGGAATTTTATGCGAAAGTACAAGTTGCATAGAATGCAGACGATACGAAAAAATATATAAAATATTCAAGGTATAGGTGCTTTCTATAATACTTGATGTGTGAAACAATTTTTAACAGCAAAGTCTTATTCTTTCAATTATATTCTTAAACATAGGAATTCAATAGGAATTCAATAGGAAATCAATAGGAATTCAATAGGAAAACATGGGTACATAAAAATCTGTAGTCTAGTAATCGCTGTTTGCTGTAGTCACTTGGAGATTGTTAGACACTTTAAGATAGAAAATAATGTTCTCAATAGTTCGAGACGGAAATCGTTCTTACTTAATCGTACTTTTAGAACAGAGAAGAAAATGGAAGAATTATTATCAAATTGAGATTGCTTTCAAATGAGTTATAACGCAAATTTAATGTTGTTACATTTCGTCCGACTGCTTTCGCTATAGAGATAAGTTAATATCAAGAAGTTGCACGAATTTATATAGACCAGTTTACACGAGTTTATATAAGACTACGCGTAAACAGATTTGCCGTAGTCTGTTCACTGAGACGGCGTCGGATAGAAGTTACGCTATAGTTAGCAGTTGCAAAACATGACTTCGAAGAGCGATTCTTTCGATTCTAACTGCATGACACTGACGAGATTCGTACTGTCCGAGCAACGAAAAATAAAAGACGCTACGGGAGATTTAACTCAGCTTCTCAACAGCATACAAACTGCTGTAAAAGCGGTCAGTTCGGTAGTTAGGAAAGCCGGTATTGCCAATATGTGAGTATTTATTATATATACATGTTTATTTGTCAATCATTTTTCCCAGTCTAATATGTTTTTGCATAAATTCATAACGTTACAGTAATACTTTTCCTATATGAACAATAACTAGGGCTTGGATTAGGTGCGTTGGATCATAGAAGAGGGATTCGCAATATCGTTGTACGTAGGAGATCCTCTAGATCGATTAATACAAAGCCCGATATGATCTTGTCTTCGAGCAACAGTTTGTTTCGTATTGTGGTGGTTGCTTACCTACCACGAGAGAGATTGCTCGAAGCGAGCAGGTCCAGTTTCGATGAAAGCGCGCGAACGCGTCGCATCATGGATCGTGTAAGTCGTTTGACGAATAGTTAAATACGGATTAATAACGACTCTATCCGTTTGCCAGGATATCGTTGATCCAAGTAACGTTCTAGTGTCACGAAGTGGCTATAATTCGAAAACAGCATCGCCATATCGGGCATATCTTTGTATCGATTTTTAGTTGGAACTGTTGTTTTAGTCCGCTGGATCGGCCCCCGCTGTATACTTGCCGCTGTGTTCCGATTCATCCTATTTACACGTACATATCGTCGATACAATGTTGAGAAATCTGAATATCGACGGCGATATCGATCGTTTGATCTTATAGATCGTAGATTCTTAATTTAAAGAAGCGTCCATTCGTCCAGTTGTCCGCTCTTTTCTACAAGTCTCCTTTTCTTACGGTGCATTGAAAATTTCTCCTTGATTATCATCTTCTGATTTGAAATTTTCAAACCTTCTGCAAAACTAATATCCATATTACGAATAGTTGTTACCTAATAGTTAATAATCGTAATCGATCAATAGTTATAATAATTATTTTATAACGAAACAAAGACGATTGACAAATAATCGATCGCGTTGCGTTTGTTCATTGGCTTTGTTCAATAGCTTGAAACTCGTGAACGATAAGCGTTATTTGTTGGAATATTCGCATAGCCGCTAGATTCTGACGAGACGCTTTACGCGCCTCATTTACGATTCGTCACATCGGTCGTTTCATAATGAAATATTGTAATTTACGAATTTACACGGTATGTACACGTACGAAATATGTACTCACTCGATTAGTCGAGCATTTTTAGGAAGAGAAGCTTCACCTAGTCCCAATCTTAATCTTTATACTTTCCTCTTTTTAATGACACTTTATTCGAACAGGTATGGCATAGCCGGAACTCAAAACGTCCAGGGGGAAGACGTGAAAAAGTTGGATGTATTGAGCAACGAGATGTTCGTGAATATGTTGACATCCTCTTACACAACCTGCCTACTCGTAAGCGAAGAAAATACGAACGCGATCGAAGTGGAAACCGAAGCGAGCGGAAAATATATCGTGTGCTTCGATCCGTTGGATGGATCATCCAATATCGATTGTTTGGTATCGATTGGTTCTATATTCGCAATCTTTAAGAAACCGAACGAATCGAGACCGTCTATGGAGGCGAATGCTCTTCAACCTGGTAAAAATTTGCTCGCCGCTGGATACGCGATCTATGGTTCGGCAACTATGATGGTACTCTCGACTGGCCACGGAGTCAATGGTTTTACCTACGACCCAGCGATCGGAGAATTTATTTTGACGGAAAAAGATCTACGCATACCTCCCAGAGGAAATATCTACTGGTATCTAGCTTTGTTATTATATTTATTTATAATGGCGTTTTGCGCATCGTAGCGTATGTGATGCGCGACAAGGCTGGTAACGATGATTTTAGCATCAACGAAGGATACGAGACTGCCTGGGACACAGCCATCAAGGAATATATACATTCGAAGAAATATCCTGAGAATGGGAAACCATACAGCGCAAGGTATGTGGGCTCTATGGTTGCTGATGTGCACAGGACGATAAAGTATGGAGGAATATTTCTTTATCCGGCAACGAAAACTCATCCTACCGGCAAGGTATAAAACAGTCACATTTCTCCTTCGACGTTATTAACATTTGTCTTTATTATAAATACATATACGCATGTGCTGCATTTTCGAAACTATTATTCGTAGCTGCGCCTTTTGTACGAATGTATTCCGATGGCGTACTTGGTAAAACAAGCCGGCGGTATGGCAACAAACGGAGAGATTGATATTTTGGAGATCGTGCCCGAGAAGATCCACCAAAGATCCGCGATATTTTTGGGATCACAGGAAGATGTGCAAGAAGTCTTACAGTTTATCGAAAAACACAAGAAATAGTGTACAGCGGGGAAGAGAGTAGTCGAACGAAGAAATAGTTTTCGGAGCTTTTATTGTAAGATATAACTTGCCTACACTTTCTAAGTATACGTATTTTATAAATCAACATTTGGAGCTGCATTGTCTTATTGGTGCAACGAACGTCGTGTCGTTAGCCGAATTTTGGCTCTGTCATTCGTTGAATGTCCACGTTTACCTGCTTTGAAAAAGCAACGTTGATGTATGTAATTGTTTAGTATCTGTATCCTTCGTTACTCGTGGATCCTGCGGTAGCAGCCTGTGTCCTTGGAGCAGATCCCGCAGCCGGATAAGTTGCCGTCCCCTCGTATCGTACCATTGGCCGATAGCCACCACCGTCGGCAACGTAGTCGACGATTTGTGTTCTACCATCTGGCAATAGCACGTGATAAGTTCCAGTTGCTTCATTGTCCTTTCGTGACTCGTGGTGGCCAAAGTTTAAGCCAGCTGGGGAAAGAAAAGTATTTATTCAGACTGTAGATGAAATTATCGTGGTATGCTTTTACGCGACGAGCGTGATAATAATAATTCGATAAGGCAAATCTTTATCGTATTGCGTAAATTTTAGTAGTACGAAATTACGAATGTAAAAATACGAAACTACGAATATCGGTGAGATAAATTAAAGACAACTAATTTTTTCGTGAAAAGAAGTCGGGCGAAAGAGAAGAAAGGAAACGTTGGTGCTACTTACACCGGCCCATTCGTCCGGATGACCAGCAGCAGGAGCTGGTCGTGCTCCAGTCGCTGTAGGCGGAAGATAGGCAGGTCCTTGAGGTTCGCTCAAAATTCCTACCAACGTCATCGTTAAGAGAAATGCCTATGTAGGGGGAAAAAATGTTTTACGCCTTTCAGCTCTTCGAAATAATTAGCAAAGATAAAACTATCGCGAGTTATTCGTTTAAATATATTTACAGAGACGAATGTGTTTTATTACAACGGGATCGACGTTGTATTTATCATGGTTCGCAAGACTATGGATTCTATTATTTTATCAGCGATATAGTTGAAAAGAAAAGACGAGAGAGAGAGAGGAAATTCGCAAGGAGAATTATGAATCGCGCAAAGAACAAACCTTCGGAATCATTAGCAACTTGGCACGAGTGCTGCGTGTCTTGGCTGAAATAAAATAGCTTAATGTTACGAAGCCGGTGGATTTTATACCACGTTCGAGGTGCGGGTGCGACGAAACGGAGATGAAATCACGGCGATTTGGGGGAACTTTAATACGAATCCATGCCTATAATTGTAGTTAATAATAAAACCGCATTGGCAATCCGGCTATACAACGGTAATCGCTAATTTGATGCGCTCGTAACAGTTCCTGAATCGTTCAAATTTTCACCACTCTCGGTATGGAATTATTCAAATTACCTTCTGCTTGCGAAAGATTCTTTAAAATCAGAATTCGTTACATAAATAATATGTTTATCGTTGTAGAAATCGGATCGGAGGCGCAATGCTGCGGTTAAACATGATCGATGAGTTCGGGCTGACGAATTAACGAAACGAAAGAAAGTTATTCAAGGACTTTTTCTTACACGGTATACTTTTTGTTTACATCTATCGTAGTTTCCTTGTGTCTTTTACACGTACGATATAACGTAGGTACAAGCTTTTCACGTTGTGAATACGTATCGTGATATCAAACGCTGTTTATACAATGCGACAGTCTTTTAAGTCCAATACGTATGCACTATACATATAAAAGTGAAAACCTGGTGAGAAACTCGTTCGATTCCCTATCGGGTTATTAATTTAACCTGATGGATCTAATACATACAGGAGCATATAAAACTTGCTGGTTTCTTTAGTCACGTTCGATAATCTTGTGCGCATTCGCGTAAAACCGAGTTAAACGTAATTATATATGTCAATAATAATGATAATAATGATAATGATAATGATAATAATAATAATAATAATAATAATAATAATAATAATAAAAATAATGATAATAATAATAAGATTAATAATAATGAGAACAATAATAATAATAATAATAATAATAATAATAATATATATATATAATATCGTGGTACTCGGAAGTTTAAACATCTATAATACTGTTGCGTTTCTTTTCGACGTCCGTAGAGTCCAGATCGTTTCCAAGGCTGCCGACTCGTCCTCTGAGACCGATTCCAGTTCCAACCTGGCCCGTAGCCTTCAATTTCTCTTGCATTTGCGCCAGCATGTCCTGCATTCTTCGTATCTGCGAAGGTAAGATTTTAGAAATAATTCTAGGAACCGTTTACAAACGGCGAAGTAGGAAAATGATGGATGCACTTTGTTCAATCACGAAATACGTGATCACTGGCGCAAATATGCAATTGCTTTTATGAAAACGTCTTGGAAACAGCGATCTTTTGCCAGCCGGCGTGATCTTTGGAGTTGTTGCGTTACTTTGGGGTTGTTCGAAGAATATCGTACGCTAAAACTAGGAAATTCGGTAAAATGCCGGGCTTGAGATTTTCGTATTTTTTACGATTACCGGAAACATATTACACACGACTTGTGTCTTTGCACAAATTAACGTCGTTTTTTATTCAAACAGATACATAATCGTTTATACGGATCTGTTTGCTTTAATCGATATCGTTTGAATCGTAACGATGCCTCTTACCTCTTCGTCTTTCTGCAGGAGTAGCCTGTCGGTATCGGATATACTGTTCTCAAAATGCGGGCCCGAATCTCTTTTCAGCTTACTGTGGACGAGAGAAAATAAAATTATGTGTTTGTTGGCGGAATTGGGCTGTATCGATTACGTTCGATCGATGGCACGTTCGATCAATAAAATCGAAAGAAGAAAGTGAAACGCAGGGTGTCTCGGCTAAATCGGATCAGACCTGGATATCCCGAACGAAAGAATGCCCGCGTTCAAATAGTCTCACTTTATCCTGAGAAGCTTTTTCTCATTCGTCCGAGACACCTTGCATACTACGAAGAGACTAGTATGGAAAGACGATGGAGAAACGATGGAAAAAAGGTCGGGAAAACGACGAAAGAGAGAAAAAATACGTAAAAGGGAAAAGATATACACGGACGTACGTACATCTAGAGAGAAGTATACCTACTGAAATGCAATACTTATTTACATGCGTAAATACCTCCGTTCCCGGATGGCCTGCTGTGAAATTTGAGAAATGCATTGCGCCCGGAAATTCTCGTAATGCACATCCTGTGTCACGTCTTTCAGATCTTGCATGTGCGTGGATATCAGCATCGTTCTTAATTTCACGAAATCGCTGTGCTTCGGGTTCTCCACTGCGGCCGATCGAAAGTCAAACGTTAATGTCCTGTTTGAACGATTACTCGACGCCACTATCGTCTCGACTATGTTTTTCTGTATTCGTGAAAGAGCGCGTTAAAAATGACAATTGTTGCGCCTGCTTGCGAACGAGATCTCTCGAGGCAGAGAAACTGTTGTTAGCGCTTGTCCGAGATGCGAAGTTGGAGAAGTTGAGACTTTTCGCTCGCAAGGTGATGCAGAAATGGCCATTTTTGAAACATCGGCCAGCTTGGAAAATCCGAGATCTAGTTACCTTCTACCACTCCCCAGGGATATTGGCGACCGCGGACCTTCTTGCCCGCGACTTCCAGCACCGTCGAGCTGCCGACCACAGCAAACGGGATGCACGCTTTGAGCTCTTTGTCCTGTTGCTTAAATTCCTCGTCCTCGTCGCTGTCGCAGTCCGGAAATTGATATATCTAGGCGCAAAACATCGTGCGTCTTTTCACGTTAATTGCCTGCTTCTCTTCCCCTGCTCTCTCCCTCCTTCTCTCTCTCTCTCTCTCTCTCTCTTTCTCTCTCTCACTCTCTTTCTCTCTCGTTTTTTCTCTACTTCGGTTGCATGCAGGTTCGTTAAATAAGAGGAAAATTACAGGAACGACGGATACTACCTGAATCTCGTGCTCTTCGATGTCAGCGAGTATTCGATCCTTCAACATTTTCACTTCGTAGGTCGTTAACGTATCTGCCTTTGCAATTACGGGGACCACGTTTACCTTACGGTGCAATCGTTTCAATACTTCCAGATCGATTTGTCTGAGTCTACGAAGGAGGAAAGGTGGTAGTAAGGGAACAGAGGAGGCGATACAGTGTCAGATATAGATAGATGCTCGGATATACCCGTGTCCATAAGGAGGTATGAAGTATAAACAGCAATGTACTCGATTGTCTTGGATGTTCTTCCTATTTAATCCGCTCTCGTCCGTAAAATATTGTCGAAACTGTTCGTCGATATAGGCTGAGCACGCTTTCCAAGTGTCTTCGCAGTTTACCGCATCGCCAAATCCTGAATACAAATTCGTGATTTTGTAGCGCGTGTGGAAATTTCGTGACATTTTCCTGGCCAGACAACTCTCGCGTAACACGTTTACATTAAACTCGCCTATTTCACGTCATATCGTATCATATCGACGTCATAGTGTGCAAGTTGGACGTTTTTTTATCCGTTTCTTCGACACGTGGCTCTCTTTTCGATGCAATTGGTAACGGAACGTGGCTCTTTGTAACGCAATTAATAATATAACGGAACGATGTATAAATAATTTAGTGGAATGCGGGAGTAATGCGATTATGTAACGACACCTCGTTCGGATAATAATATTGTAGGCGACTGTTAACGTGTGATGCGAGAGTTAGGCTACGGTTACAATGGATGCGTATTCCGATGAATTGACATTCTGATGAACTCGATACGTCAATGAAATCAAACATATACATAGAGAGAGAGAGAGAGAGAGAGAGAGAGAGAGATTTTTACGAGTGTACGCGTCGCGGTATTCGGACGTTACGTTGTTTGGAACGCCAGTCAGTCCGAATACGCGTCCACTAAAACCGCGACCTTTGGCAAAACTTTTTTCGACCGTATATAAAGTATTAAATGAAACTATACCAGGTGTGTCGACGATCGTTAAACGTAGCCTGACTCCACGTTCTTCGATGTCCATCGTCTTCTTTTCTATCGTTGTTGTCTTTTCAATGCGTTCTAGAAAGGACTAGTTTTGGCAATGATCGTCGAACGTGCGACTTAGTATGTTTGTACGTATAGTACCAACCAGCGGCATCGAGGATTCGTCGGTCTTTGTAAAGATCACCGAGGAACAGACTGTTTATCAGAGTAGACTTGCCGAGGCCACTTTCTCCTAACACCATCAGGGTGAACTCGAATCCTCTTTTAACCGATTTTCTGTGCACTTGCTCGGGCAACGTCGCGAATCCGATATAGTCCCTGTCTTGATGAATCAGACAAAACGATCAGACGATTAACAATTTGCTCGAGACGTCGTTCGCTTTGGCTCGTCTCCCGTCTTCTCGTTTTTCATTGTCCTGCTTCTCGTTTTCGTCTCACCCTTGTCCCTTTTTGCAGAGTCTCGTCTCTCGAAAGAAGAAAGAAAGACGAGAGAAAGAAGGCGAGGAAAGAAAGAAGGAAAGAAAGAAAGAGAGAAGAAAAGACGCTTGCATACGTACCACCGGACATATTAGCAACGCGCGACGGCACTTTGATAAGCGTCGGACAAGAAGCGCCGAATGGGCGATAAAACAGCACTGGAACACTGCACTGGAAACGCGAACGAGGGTAGATCGCTACTGTTTTGCCCTCAGGATCGCGCTGCGCTGGCGCACTGACGGCCACCGATCAATAACGTGCTCGCTAGTTCAGTTCCTGCTTCGTTTCCTGTCTGCTCTGCTCGCAAGACGCAACCTGCCTCGCAACGTACACGACGGTACGCCTGTTTTCATACAGACTTTTATTTCGCTACAGCTACGTAAACCTATAAGTTGTCCGCGTTCCTTTCGTTCGCTTGGCAAATCGAACGGAGAAAAATCTCGTGCCGTCGATAAACGGCTAAACAGCGCGAATTTCGCTACGGAAGAAAATGTATCTTGTCTCGTTAAAATTGAGAACGCGCGAAGCGTATCGTTTTCCGTTAGTCGACCGTGCAAACTAACCGACGACTAAATACGGACGTACCAGCCTTTAAGCGGAATCGCAAACAAAACGGCAGAAAAAAGCAGTTTATCTTTCCCGTTATTTATCTTATCGATTATATATCTCGTTTGTTTTGCGCGATTCTGAGAAATCGATTGGAATCGGGGCAGGCAACGAAATGGCGGCTGGAAGTAATGGTCGATCGAAGGTTGGTCGAACGTTAACGAAGAGCGGCGGATGATGCAGAGGAGGTTCGAAACGAGATTCGTAGCATGGGCGAGCGATCGTGAATGGTACGCGATCACGACTCGCGTAATTTCCGAGGAGGTCGTCGGGCTAGGATGTTTCTCGAGTTCCGGCGCCACGCCTCGGAGTCAACGTTCCCGTGGAAAAGGCGAGGAAGGAAGGGGCAAAACCCGGTGGCCGAAGGTGGGCGAACG